TGACCTGCTGAAATTCTAATGACTTTCTCTCTCAAAATTAATTCGTTTGCGTGTTTTTGTCAGATTGGAAGTAGGTTGAGTTGGAGCAGAAACTATGCTGCCAAAGACATAAGATTCGGTGTGGAGGCTCGTTCTGGGATGCTCAAGGGTGTTGAAGAGCTAGCTGATGCTGTCAAAGTCACCATGGGCCCTAAGGTACTGACACCAACTGCCTGTTTGATCATGTTTTACTGATGTTTGATGCCCTTGAATACAATCTTAAGAGTTTCATTTTTTGGTCCAATAAAGTACAGTGAGATTTTAATTTTGTAGCAGACTGGTTTTATTAGACTTTTTCATAAATTGAAACTATATATAGTCTTCAATGGTAACACTGCAACGGGAAATATGTTTTTTCTTGGCAGAAACTAGTGTTGCGGAAGCTTAATAGATCAACAATAGGGCTTGTCCAAATGCTTTATTCTTTGGATTTTCCAAGATAAATGTGGATGTTTCTTTTCCTCTTGCAACATCTTATCGAGGATGATGAATCATTAATGCATTTGAGTTTCTTTGGTGGACCTTAGTTATTTTTTGCCAAACTTTGTCTCAGATATGATAAAATGAGCAAGTTGATTAATAAATAATGCATGTTATTCTTGGTAATTTGTGGTTTGCAGGGTCGCAATGTGGTTATTGAACAAAGCTTTGGTGCCCCTAAAGTGACAAAAGATGGCGTGACTGTTGCTAAAAGCATTGAATTCAAGGATAAAGTCAAGAATGTTGGTGCTAGCCTGGTGAAGCAGGTTGCAAATGCCACCAACGACACTGCAGGCGATGGTAAGGTTTCTTCCCCTTAACAGTTGTTATCTAAATATTTTGACCATCTAGGATTTAGATTGGTGCTGTAGCATTTGGTCATTAGTTTAGGATTTTATGCTACAGGTTCTAAATCTAGTGTTTATTTATTTATTTTCATATTTTACTGCATAGTTTTACTTCTTTGTTGGTTCTGTCTCACTGGGCAATGAGAGCTTTTTGAATGTGTTTGCAGGGACCACTTGTGCTACGGTTCTCACTCAAGCAATATTTACTGAAGGATGCAAATCAGTTGCTGCTGGAATGAATGCAATGGACCTAAGACGTGGTATCAGCATGGCAGTTGAATCAGTTGTTACCAATTTGAAGAGCAGAGCAAGAATGATCAGCACATCTGAAGAAATTGCACAAGTTGGTACAATATCAGCAAATGGGGAGAGGGAAATTGGTGAATTGATAGCAAAGGCCATGGAGAAGGTTGGCAAAGAGGGAGTTATAACAATTCAAGTAAGTTGAGCATTGTCTTGATACATTTTTTTCTGTGTTCTGTTGTTGATACTTTTCTCCATAGTCTCTTGCTATTCTTCAAGTGTCTTGGTACTGTTATGAAGGATGTCAAGTTTCTGAGTACTGTTTTTCTTCTCACATGCATTGAGTTGCTAATGGCTACTTATCTCATTCCATTAATCATTCTTTCATTTTTTTTGTGTCCAAAATATGCACTTGCTCTTATCCCATGTCAAACTGTTGCAGGATGGGAAAACATTATCTAATGAGTTGGAAGTTGTCGAGGGGATGAAGCTTGACAGGGGCTATATATCCCCTTATTTCATCACGGACCAGAAAACCCAAAAATGTGTAAGTTTTTACTTCTGATTCCAATCATGACATTTCTTGAGATCTAGGGGGTGTCCACATGATAGAATAGTTCAAAGTAACTGCTTCAACTGTCATTGAGTTTCTATTATCTTTTCTATATCTATGCACAAACAGGAATTAGATGATCCTCTCATTCTGATCCATGACAAGAAAGTCTCAAGTTTGCATGCTGTGGTGAAAGTACTAGAGTTGGCTTTAAAGGTACATACTTTATTTCCAATCCCTTTGTTTTTGGAAGCTGGAGTACAAATGCAGCGCTGTTCATTTTTTGCTTAACTGTATTTGTTCAGAGACAAAGGCCCTTGCTGATTGTTGCTGAAGATGTGGAAAGCGAGGCCTTGGCAACTCTTATTTTAAATAAGCTTCGTGCTGGAATCAAGGTCTGTTCCATTAAGGCCCCTGGTTTTGGAGAGAACAGGAAGGCCATATTGCAGGATCTGGCTGCCCTCACAGGAGGCGAAGTGAGTTTACTTCTGCACATATATTTAATTTTTTTTGTCATATCCTCTAGTTCCATTGAGCAAGTTCTTAACTTCTGTTTTGCAGGTTATAACTGAAGAGCTTGGCCTCAATCTTGAAAATGTGGATTTGGATATGCTTGGCAGTTGCAAAAAGGTGAGCTCAAATTGTCAACCGTGGTGTAGTTTACTTGCATGGGGAGCCAGATGGGCTGGTTTGGGATTGGGTGGAATTTAGTTTAGATCTTGTGGGCAGTAGTGAAGGCAAGACATTGAAGAGTTAAAATCAAGGCGAGGGTGTGGTTGTCTGTAAAAAGTGTGTGTTTCGATGCATGACTAGTTGGGTTTTGTCTTATAGGTTACAGTATCAAAGGATGACACAGTTATTCTTGATGGTGCTGGAGATAAGAAGTCCATTGAAGAAAGATGTGAACAGGTCAGTTTTGCTTCGTTGCTGGACTATGTTTAGCCATCCTCAAGGCATCTTTCCTTTTAAATAATAATTAAAAAAAGAACAAAAAAGCATCTTCCGATGCAAATGAATACCATGATTTTTGTCTGTTGCTCTGTAATTACAGATCCGATCTGCAATAGAAGCAAGCACTTCTGACTATGACAAAGAGAAGTTGCAAGAAAGATTGGCGAAGCTTTCTGGTGGTGTTGCTGTGCTGAAGGTCTGCCTGCTTTCATACGCACTTTGCATACCCTCTCCTATTAACTTCCAAATACAATTATGGGCATTTACCCTAACCTCATCTATCTTCTAACTGGATTTATTGCTTAAAAGTTGTAAACTGGGGTCACTAATGAAAATTTTGCTAATTTTGCAGATTGGAGGAGCTAGTGAAGCTGAAGTCAGTGAGAAGAAAGACAGAGTTACAGATGCCCTAAATGCCACAAAGGCTGCTGTAGAAGAGGGTATTGTGCCAGGTAAATTTTCCATCTATATTTCCTCATGTTATATGGTAGAATTAAAATCAACGATCAAATCCTCAAGCTGTTTTCTTTTGCAGGTGGTGGCGCTGCTCTTCTTTATGCATCAAAAGAGTTGGATAAGCTTCAGACTGCAAACTTTGACCAGAAGATTGGTGTTCAAATTATCCAGAATGCCCTGAAGGTTTGTCCTTCATCATGTGTGTGTATGTGTATAATTGTGGTTGGGTTCTGTATACATAAATATTTATTCTTCAAGATTGAATCTGGGTGCAAGTTTGAAGATCCATGCACTTTATGATTCTGCTTATACCCAAGCTTGAAGTATTACAACATTAATGTGAATTTGATGAACTTTCTATTATGTTACCACTGAATCCTAAAATTGAACCTCCAATGGCAGACTCCTGTGCATACAATTGCTAGTAATGCGGGAGTTGAGGGAGCTGTTGTTGTTGGTAAGCTATTGGAGCAGGACAACCCTGATCTCGGGTATGATGCTGCCGAAGGTCAGTGATTTTTTTCTTCTTAATTTTGTTGTTTACTTAATCCACTGGTACCCATTTTTCAACTAATTTGTTTGGTACGTTCATGTATTACCAGGTGAATATGTTGATATGGTGAAAGCTGGAATTATTGACCCATTGAAAGTAATTAGAACTGCTTTGGTCGATGCTGCCAGGTAATTCTTTAACTTCTTTTAGGCTTGGGGTTTGGTTATCATCTTTAGCATCTTGCCGATAAGCACTTACTAATTTTTTTGCTTTCAGTGTCTCGTCGTTGATGACAACAACTGAGGCTGTTGTAACTGATCTTCCAAAGGATGTAAAGGATGCTCCAGCAATGGGTCCAGGCATGGGCATGGATTATTGAGGTTGTTTTTTAGACATTGATCCGAACTGCCTGACATAAATATTTCACCCTTTGTACCCAAATCAGTGAGCATTGTTCTTCTGATCGAAAGACATGTAATCATGGTGAGCAAGTTGCGGCATGTAGGTAGTCTTCGATGATTGGATAATGGATTTTTGTTAGGGAAAACTTGCATGTAAGGCGCCTTTTTCCTCAAAATAAAACATCCTCATCTTTGTAAACCAAGAGCTCCGCCTTGTAGTTCTCTTCCTTATGTTCTCCTGCAAGAAATACTATCCCCACGAACCATTTCTACTTGTCTTTGTTTAGTCCCTCTTTCCCAGTTGTAGACAGAAACGAGAATGCAACAATGCGATGGCGAAGACAGTACACCTCAAACTAACCCGAAGGAGTCTTGTGGTCATTTGAGGATATACCCTGCCAAATTTTAATATTTATTATTACACATTTTACTGGACCCCGCAATGAGGAAAAATAAGATGCTTCCAGGAGGGTTTTTTCTTCACCAGATGAATTCGCAATGCTGGTGTTGCCTACGGCCCTTGGAGAAGCCCAGCTCAGCTGATCGCTTGGCTACTAAGGAAGAGGCTAATTGCAAAGCAGATCTTGCTGCTTCGTTGTAGCAGGCTACCTCACAATGCTGTCGCTTGGCTGCACCAGGCTTGGGGGTTTCCTATATGCCCTTTCATTTGTACAAGCTTCCTCGGCTCGGAGCTGTTTCCTTCTATAATATTTTTCTAGGCCCACAAGTATGGTTGGAAGGGAGATGAAAATTGAACGAACATGACCTGCTTACATGCTTCAGAGTTATTACCGCAGTCATCCTAAAGCTAAATTGTGTTTACATAAACAAGCAACAAAATCTTCAAGTTGAACAACATCTTCAAGTTGATTACCAGACCATGTTGGGTCAGTTTGAACACTCATTTCTCTCAGATTTATTGTATTTGCCAAATTGGATAAATATCCTCGAACCAAAGATCATGGGACATGATCCATACCCCCAAAATCAAAATCAAAGGTCATGGAACATGTATTAGAACAGCAATCAAAATGGAAGTAGACGACAAAAATATATCTGATAAACCAGACTAAATTGCAGCTGTTACTTGTTAGATGAAACAGGAACCGAAATTTCCCTGTCCATTTTACCAATCATTTGATCAAATCAGAAAAGATGCACTATTTATCTCTACAGGTAAAATTAAAAAAAAATGTTTATTTTCCTCGTATGGACGTAGTTGCAATTCCTGGACCGACCAGATCTACACGGTCAAATCTAAAAACCAGCTGAATGATCAACATCAGAACAGAAACAACGTAAAACAGCACAACAGATATTTCATCTTTGTGGGGGAACGAGAGCAAGGATGCGATCTTGTCAAGCATCAACGGATCTTCATGCAGTTATCAGTTGGGCCTGCTGCAGCGAGTCTTTCTACTGTTGAGACAGTACTTCAAAGTACAATTTGCTTGGAGCTCCTTGTTTCCCTTAAGAAGACGATGATTCCATAATCACGTTAGCAATTGCCAATAGCACAAGACTAGCAAAACTGTCCGCCATTTTTAACGTTCAAATTATTCAAAGAATTACCTGGTGTTGCAAAGCTTTCACGCAGACCAGATGTAGCGTCCTCGATTTTCTCGGATCAAATGTGGGGGGTGATATTACCTTGCCTTTCGAAGCACCGTAATGAGTTTCGTTTCCTTCAAGAGCAGCATTCCTGTGTTTTTCTAATTCTCCTTGAAGGGTAGAGTGTTGGTGTCGCACCCGACATCGCAACGGCCTTAAAATTTTTAATGGAATGAAAAGAATGGATTTCTGACATCCTATTCTTTGATGGGGGAATGGTCTTTGTTTAAGGAGTCGCCACCTAGTATTATGGTTACTAGGAACCCTAACTGGTCAATAGAGATTCTATGGTTCGAGACTGATTAAGTAAAAGGGAAGATATCATCACCCCTTAAACGTCCTACCTAAGACAGGCTACATTGCTACTCTTTGTCTTTAATTGCCAATATTTTTTTTGTTGGTTTATATTATGATTGTTTGTGTGTAATATTCCTGACTCTGGCGCCAGTGAATATTCAACTACGGATATTTCCAACTCTGACGTTGGTAAATATTGCGTAGGTATCAAAGTAAATAAATTTAAATCATTAATTGCTAATATTTTTTTTTGTTTATACTATGATTGTTTATGTGTAATATTCCTGACTCTGACGTCAGTGAATATTCGACTACGGATATTTCTAACTTTGGTGTTAATAAATATTACGTAGGTATCAAATTGAACAAATCAAAGTCATCATTTTTTTTTATTCCTAACTCTGGCGTCAGTGAATAAAAAAAAATAAAATCATTTTATTATATATATTTTTTTAAAAAATAAAATATTTTTAAATCAGTATCTTTTATATTCCCGACTCTGGCGTCAGTGAATAAAAAGATCAAATAGATTTTTTATGCAGGTATATCTTTATGTAACTAAGTAAAAAAGAAATATAATGAAGTAAAATAAATTATTAACTTTATTCCTGACTCTGGTAGTGAATAAACTTATAATTTTATTTTATATTATTTTATTTTTATTTTTTATCTATTTTTATTTTTACGAAATTAAACAAAGTTCAATGAAATAAATTTGAATCAATATTTTTATTTTTTTTCTAATTATTCATGAATAAAAACAAAAAAATCATTTTTTTATTTTTTATCTACACATTTAGACTCTTTTTTAATTTTTTAATTTTTTCTATATATTTTTTTTTATTTTTTTATTTGTTTGGGCTGGGCTGGGCCCAGCCCAGCTCAGTCCATATCTTATAGGCAGGACCTAGCTCAGCCCACAGGGGGCTGGGCTAAGCCCAGCCAACTTGGCGCGGGTCACTGGCCCAAGCCAGTGACCCGGATAAAAAACAGATGCACGCGTGAAACAATTTCACGCGTGCATCAACGGTGTGAAGGTAATTAAGTTACCTTCACACTGTTTAAACATGATTTGAATACAGAAGAGTGAAAATTGAAAAGGAACGCACCTGCTTCTGGAGATGATGAAGAAAAACTGCAACGCCGGCGCTACTGTCGTTCGACTGCTCTTCTCTT